TGGGTGGCAGGAAATGGGGCTGGCTGTTCCTGATTCCTCAGACGGGAGACTGGGCCAGGCTGTCTGCAGAAGACCCTGGGGGGCCAGGACCCACATTTTTCATAGTCCTCGGAGCTCCGTCTTTAGAGGAAACGGAATCTTCTTACCCTCTTGCCAGCCAGGTCACCGTGGGCAAGCGACTTAATCTCTCCGTGCCTCAGTTTCTCATTTGTGAAATGGGGATTGAAATCGTATCAATCCCGTAGGCTTGTTGTTGAGGTTTAAATGAGTCAAAGCATTTAGAATGGAACCTCGCACAGAATGTTTTGGGAGTATTTATTACTAGTGTTTAAATATAATTTTCATTGATTTCAGGGAGGAAGGGAGAGGGAGAGAGAGATAGAAACATCAATGATGAGAGAGAATGATGAGAAAGAATCATTGATCAGCTACCTCCTGCATGCCTCCTACTGGGGATCGAGCCCGCATCCCAGGCTTGTGCCCTGACCGGGAATTGAACTGTGACCTCTTGATTCAGACATCTACCCTCAGCCACTGAGCCACACCAGCTAGGCTTGGATTATTTATTATTATTGTTGTTGTTCTCCTATCAACTTGGCTTTATGGGCAGTGCCTGCTGCCCTGGCTCCCACCCTGCTTGTCCTTGTCCCTGCTGTGGGAATCCTTGAACCCTGATGGGAGAAACTGCTAACTTTCTGGGGTTCTCAGTACTTGATCCTAGGCTTGGGTTACCCCACAACCCTCTCCTATAAGCCTGGATTGCTTGCCCTAAAAGCCCCAGAAAATCTAGATGTTGGAATTTTTTAAAGTGGATAAAATTGATTGTTTTTGGAGATATGCTGAGAGCTCTAAAACCGAGATTGAGGCCAGATAGAGGTGGGTAGGGGAGATAGATGGAGAAGTGGGGGCTCAGGGACAGGGCCACTTCTAGACTCATTAGGCTGTGGAACCCCTGCAGGGCTGGTCTGAGACTGGAGTTGGTGCCCAAGTTCAAGGGCATCCTGGGGCTCCAAGGGCAGGCCTCAAGGGGAGAGGGTGGGCAGGTGGGTTGGAATTAGTCTCAGCTCAAATGAAAGTGAAACTGGAGGGTGTGGCTGTGTCCAGATGTAGCCGGAGCCCCTCAGTCTCCAGGGACGCCTCCTGACATCAGCACTGGGGGGCGTTGTAAAGATCTACAAGGGCCTGGTCCTGGGGGAGCAAGGCTGGAGGGCCCTCTGGCACTCAGAGAGGTAGGAGTAGGGAAGGAGGATTCTGATCTCCACACCTTTTTTTTTTTAAAAAAAAATATTCTTATTGATTTCAGAAAGGCAAGGCGGGGAGAGAGACAGAAACATCAATGATGAGAGACAATCATTGATTGGCTGCCTCCTGCACACCCCACACTGGGGATCAAGCTCACAGCCCAGGCATGTGCCCTGACCAGGAATCGAACTGTGATCTCCTGGTTCATAGGTCGATGCTCAACCACTGAGCCACACTGGCCAGGCAAGTGTGCCCATTTTATGGAGAAGGAAATTGAGGCTCAAGGAGCAAAGAAGTGATAGGGCTGGTGCCCCCGCCCCAGGAGGCAAGTCACACACCCCTGGATTTCCTGTCCTTTCCTGGTCCATGTGAGCTCTGTCAGCCAGACTTCTACGAGTCTCCCAGGGCTCAGCCCCATCGTGCTGCCTCCCTGCTGAGGGCCCTGGGTCTGGGGGCCTGTTCTTATTTTTCAGGGTGGCTTCACCCCACTCAGAGTGAGTGGCATCCACTGGCCCCTCTCCCGCTCCCTAGGGTGCCCATCTCCTCGGTGGGCATAGCCAAGGAACAGCTGCCAATTAGTGCTCAGCGCTGTCAGAGCTATTTCTGATCTCGGAGCCTAAATTTAGCCCGTCTGGCAGGCTGGCATGTGGGCCTGCGGGCCTGAGGGGGCCAGGTGGGGAAGGGGCAGAGGGGAGAGGGTGGGCAGAGGCTGTGGGTCAGGACAGGTGTGCCGGCTCCAGCAGAGGCCTCCCCCTCCCCACTAATTACCACGGTGCTGTCCTGGGGGACGGGCCAGGGCTCTGGGGCAGAGTTAGCTCTGGGCTCAAAGTCCACCCAGCTCCCCTCTTACTGGCTTTGTAACCTGGGGACGGTCCCTAATCCGTGCTGGCACCTGTAAGATGGGCTAATCATGGTGCCAGTGATGGAGTGAGAGTGGACAGTGGTCACCTGCGTGCAAGGCTCAGAGCAGTGCCCAGCTCCCGGCTCCGTAAACTTTCGGGCAAAGCCGGCCCCCAGGATGGTGGGTGCCGCTGGGACCATTCCAGGCCCCAAACAGGTCCCGGGTTGGGTGAGGGCCCGGAAAGACCCATGTTGGGAAATGGCTCTTCCCTCTAAGCCGCAGCGGTTCTCAACCTGTGGGCTGCAACCCCTTCACCTAAGACCATCCTGCATATCAGATATTTACGATTCCTAACAGTAGCAACATTACAGTTATGAAGTAGCAACGAAAATAATTTTACGGTTGGGTCACAACGTGAGGAACTGTATTTAAAGGGCCAGAAGGTTGAGAACCACTGCCTAAGGCTCAGCTGCCCCTCACCGCCCCCCTCCACCCACCACCTCCCTCCTCTCTGGTTCTGCTCCGGTTTCCTTGTTATTGCCTGTCCTCCCTCCCTCACTGCTTCTTCCTTCCCCTCAGCCTTGCCCCATCACTTTAGCCCTGCCCCGCCCTGGGTCTCTGTGGGGTGGGGATGGATGAGGGAGAGAGAGAGAGAGAGAGAGAGGGGATATTGAGTCAGAGACATTGATGTGAGAGACACATAGGCGCGCAGGGAGGCTCCCTGGCCCAGTAGAATCCTCCCCAAGGGCCCTTGGGGCAGCCCCTCCCCAAGGGCAGGAGCTGCTCTGGCTGTGGCTGTGGTTGGTTGGAGGAGGTGGCGGCTGAGGCAGCAGCAGTTTCCCCAGTCGGGGCTCCTTTCACAAGCGGGGTGAGGGGTGATGCATTCCATGCCGGCCTGGGGGGCTGCTGGAAGGGCAGTTTCACCTTTCAACTCGCGGCCCAGACAGAAAGCTTGGGCAATGGGGCTGAGTGAGCAGCTTCCTGTGGCCTGGGCCTGACCCAGGGCCGTGATTTTGGGGATGAGGTCTGGGCAGAGCCCTCGCACTAGGCCCAGCACCCCAGAGAGGAAGCTGGCTGTGGGCCTCGGTGGGTGTGGCCCCTCTCAGTTCCAGCTGTGGCCTCCTGTCTGGGCGTCAGGGCAGGGCGACGTGAGCCAGGGACCAGGCTTCCTCTCATATCACCCGAGGAGGCTTGGAGCTCCTGGGGGGCAAGAACTGTTTCCTGGGGTCTGACACATAGTAGACACTCAATAAACCCGAGGTTTACTGCATTGGGGTGAATTGGCATCGTCTGCTGGGTCTATTAGGAAGACCTGCTAAGCCTTGGGGGTCCAGGAGCCCTGAGTGCTGGCAACACCCGGTGACTCCACAGCCCCAGGGGGACCGTATGCCTGCCCTGTGGGGAGGGGCTTGACAGGGACGTCACGCCCATGAGGACCCAGGCAGAGCCCTGCTGAGGCTTCCTTAGCTCTCGAGGGGAGTCCCAGCCTGGGCCACCCCAGCGTGCTGTCCGCCTGGGCCACAGACCCAGCCTGCGCCACCCCAGCGTGCTGTCCGC